AGTTAACATTAATAGAAATCTTTAAATATTATTTCTACGCGTATATATTAAAATATGTCTACTGGCTGTAATGCCAGTGTACTAGGCAAAGTGATTCTAAAAAAGAACACCTACCGCCTAAATATTTCGTGTTGGTATCATGTGACCTCACGGGCTATGACGCCGATGATGTGCATCGGTATGTAAATTAGATGAAGTATACTTTTCTATTTCTTACCTAGTCCTTGATGTTCTCCACCTTGCATTTAGGTAGTATATCTGTACTTCTAACTCTGTCCCATAGTGTTTTACCATTAATTTTTCAGTGTTTTCATCCCTGGTGTTTCTAACATCATTTTTTTCTCTGTGTCAGGTCATATTTCTGCCGCGTATATCATTATTGGTCTGATTGACTGTTTTGTAAATTCTGCCTTTCATTTTTTTCCCGATATTTTTATTTCTCCATATTGTTTCATTCAGGCAACTTGTGGCTCTGTGTGCTCTATTTACTTAATCTTTCACTTTTGTTTTGAGTTTTTCGTAGCTAGATAATGTGATGTCTAGATATTTAAATTCTATCACTTGTTCTATTATCTGACTTTCCAGCAGATCTATATGAAGAATGGTGTGAGAAAACCTTAATTCCAAACTATCCAAAAGATAAAGAAGACGTCGTCGTTTTGGATAACACGTCATACCACTTGTAACGATCTGCTGATCGTTCAACACTTCCAACCGTGGGAGTGTTGATATTCGCGCATCCACTTCCACGACGAGACGACGAAGTGGGATTTGGAGCGGCTATTAAAGGCGAGCGACTGGCAGAATTAGATAGTCTTGTAGCTAGCGCTCTAGGCTCCCTGACTCGCTGGTGTAGTGAACCTGCGAGCCAGCCAGGACAGAGAGATTTCCGTATTGAGGATCGTACTCTGTACTTAACCAAGCAGAACCCATCGGTATTGTGAATTGAACACAACCTGCACAACCGTATATTTTCGATTGGATCGGCTCCGACCGACTTCGCGTATTTTTTTTCTTTGTTAGTAATAATAAATTTTTTTTTTCGTTTGCAGACGTTTGCCGAGGAGTTTACTCTCGCGGGATCCAGACGAGGACAAAGAAGTCATTTTATTTCTATTTAATGTATATACGTTAAAGTTAATAGATTTATTTTTAATTTCATCCTGTGTTTTACTAAGTCTATCATCTCGAAAGAGCTACCCGTCACACACTCCCGCAAATTTGACTTGTCAAAAAAATTGTGAAACAAAAGGCAAATCAAGGATTGGCTAATCGAAAAGAAGAAGTAAAAGGGTATATGGCTTCAAAAAACTTCGAATTTAAAGAAAACAACGGTAGAACGGTTAATAAAAGAAGCTTATCAATGCGTATCTAAAGAGCAGTGGTATAGTTATGTGAACCACGTGATTTACAGAAAGATATTGAACCAATGATAACTAATATAGGAGATGATTCAGAGGATGAGGACGATTTAGATATGGATTGCGATTAGTATTAATTATCAAGAAATATCTCAACTTTAAAGCTTATTTGTTTTTTTAGTACTGTACGTACGGTACATTTAAGTTATGACCTATGATCTCTAGTAAACTATAGGGTAAGACAAAGATGATGATAGTAGACAGAGCTCGGAACAATCTTCAACACATTAAAGAAATTGGGGACTTTGAAGTAGTAAATAGTTTCATATATCTGGAGTCCATAATATAAAATGACGGAGGGTGTGGCAGAGAGATACATACGCTATGATGAAACTGGTAACAATTTGAATAAATTCTAGCATAACAATACATACAAAACTAAGGCTGGTAAGGGCCCTCATTTTTCCCATAGCCACATATGCATCCAAAACGTGGACCTTAAAAAGTGGACAAAAATAAACTATACTCAATTCACGATCAAGATGCAGTAGAAATAAACAAACTAAGACACGTTAAATGTTACAAGGAGCACTCTGAAATAATTATTTACAATGTATATACATTTTATAATTCCCAAATCATGATTTACAAAGTTTATACACTGTAAATAATTATTTGGGAGTGTTCCTCGTAACATTTTAGTGTCTTGGTTTGTTTATTTCTAGTGCATCTTGATTGTGAATTTAGTATAGACGCTTTGGAAATGTGGGTGTACCGCTTCATGTTAAGAATTATCCTAAATTGATCATCACACTAACGTATCGATATTAAAACAACTTAAAGTAAAGGATAGATTGCTTAAACAAAATACAACATAGATATTTGCAGTATTTTGGACACATTGGGAGAACAGGTACGATGGAAAAATTGAGAGTCGAGGGTAGAGTTGAAGGAAAGAGGCCTAAGGGAAGATCTCCAAGCGGTTGGGGAACAGGGACAGGACAGGGAAGGATGGAAGGAAATCGTGAAAAAACTATAAAGGCCTGATGATGTCACCACATCCCAAAAGGGATTAGGACGGAGGAGAAGGATAGGGTAAAATACTTGCATTTTTTTGTATATATGTATATAAGTATTTACGAGTATTAGATATTTTACGTATACAGGAATTTTTTAATAGAATGAATTTGTATTTTTGTTTATTTTCTTATTTAACTTAGTTACATTATTACTTAGACATTTGAAATAAACAATGGACTAAAACAGGGAGATGCACTTTCACCACAACTCTTCAACTTAGCTCTGGAGCACATAATCAGAAGTGCAAGAATCGAAAAACCGAATACAGTATTTCATCGAGAAGGACCAAACTTACTACTGGCATTTGCAGATGATATAGATCTAATAGGAAACACGCGATTAAGGATGAAGGAGACTTTCGTAAGGTTTGAGAAGGAAGCAGAGAAGATGGGGCTCCAAATCAACGAAAACAAGACGAAATATATGTATATGAGCCGCAATAACCAAAGCAGAGACAGAATCGGTCAGAACATTACCATCGATGACTTTAACTTTGAGCGCGTTAGGGAATTCAAGTATCTTGGAACAACAATAACTGAAGACAATAACGGATCACAAGAAATAAACAACAGGATTCAGGCCGGCAACAGATGTATTTTTGCCCTCCAAAACCTTATAAAATCAAAACAACTAACACGACGTACGAAGATACAGGTCTATAAAACAATCATACGACCCGTTGTGATGTATGGAAGCGAAACGTGGACGATGACAAAGGCAAATGAAGAGAGACTACGTGTTTGGGAAAGAAAAATCCTAAGGAAGATCTTTGGTCCGGTGCTTGATGAAACATCAGGACAATATAGGATAAGAACTAATAAAGAGCTTGAAGAACTTTACCCAGACGCCAACATCATAAAAGAAATAAAGTCCAGAAGACTCCAATGGGCAGGACACCTCAGAAGACATTCTGACGAACGAACAGTAAGACTGGTGTGGCAGGAAGTCCCAACTGGAAGGAGACCACGCGGACGCCCTCGTCTCCGGTGGCGAGATAATATAGCAGGAGACCTAAGCACTATGGGCGTGGAGAATTGGATGGAGGTTGCTCAAGACAGAAAACAGTGGAGGCATGTTGTCGAGTCGGCTAAAACCCACGAAGGGTTGTAACGCCACGGAGTAAGTAAGTAAGTAAGTAACATTATTAAGTAAACATGCCAAACTACCACACACCTACAACGGTGCCGACATGAGCGGCATCGCTGCGCGCCATAAGACCAACACTGCATTCCAACTGTGGCGTCTACTTATAGATAAAAATAAAAAAATGATTTTATTTGTTTTTGGCACAAAGTATTGATGAGTTTTTCCACCGAATAAAGTATCTTAGATTCAAGATAAGTTGTATATAAAAAAAATACAAAAACAAAAACTATTAAAATTAGTTAAAATCGAAGAATTACTCAACATTACCATACAGTCGACACTTTCCTTAACCTGTTGTTTTATTCTTTATAGAAAAATCTAGTCGATTTTAAATTTCAATTTTTATCCTTAGCTCTTTCTTCTCTATTTCTACCTAAAGGTATAGTACATAAAATTTGGCAGTCATTTAGTTGTGAACAATTTCACAAGAGGTGTGTAACGTCCATTTTTTCAGTTCGAAAAATTTACAAATTCCAGAAATTCGTGAAATCATGGTTTACAATCGATGATTAAACAAAAAAGCTGTTGGATTTGTATTTTTACAATAAAACAGAAATAATTGTTGAGTATTTGAGTACCTCTTAGATACTTATTCGTTAAGTATTTTGATTACACTTTGAACTTTGAAAAAAAATTGAACCAAAACTGAGAATAAAAAGAAAAAACAAAAAAAGAAATGAACCACTGGTCTATTTCTCAACTAAAGAATCCTATCAACTGTCTGAAGTAGTACGAGTACCTACAATGACATTTTTTTTTATATAAAACAGAAGACCAGCATGTCTAGATGAGTACGCGCCTAAAGAAGAAGAAGATAGTTAAACACTTTAGATATGTTATTGATATCTTCCTGAAAATAACCGAGAAATAAAAAACTATTTGAAACTTTTTACCATTGTTGTCTTTAACTTCTTGTTTGTATAAAATTTTTTGTCAAATATCGCCGGCCATAAAGGAAGAAGTAACGTTGATATAAAAACTACTAATCACGTAGTAAGATTTTAACAATTAGAAAACGCAAGGGCATCCAATACTCACGCGAAAGCTGTAATTTACTAATTAGCTCAAACATTTTAATAAAATAAATATATTATATTAAAAATACAAATCCAATTAGCCGAATAAATTGCTTACACTTAATAATCATCTGGTTCTGTTTTGATAATAATCACTGCGTTCCCATATAATAAAATATCAGTAAAAAATTGAATAGTTTTTATATATCGACTGGTAAACCATTTTACCCTCAAAACACACAATATGCACCAACTTGGGACACTCAACAATGTTTTTCTTCCAATTTAAAATTCACTAAAATCGTTTTTAAATGTTTATACAAGAGTTATTTAGCCGCCTTTACACAATGTATTGCACAAGTGCTTGCACGATTTGGTAAGGCAGCCTGTTTTGTTGTTAAATAATACTCTCTCTATTCCTTTCATTTTCTTCTTCTGCTAGACTGCTTGACGACCTAAAACAAAAATTAAACAATAAATTAGAAGCTACAAAGAATAAAATTAAATAATATGGCCAAAAAGATATCAAACATTTTTATGAATTATTTAGAGACAATGATTTCAGAATATACCTTATTTTTTGTTCGCATATTAATTCACTCCATTGTCGTATTAAATTTACAATAGAAACAGAACAAAATCAATCCATTAATTTTTTAGATTTAAAAATCATCAGACTTAAAAATAAACAGGAGTTCTCAGTATTTCATAAGCCTACCCATACTGACACGACTATACACAATTATTCATCCCATCCCATCCTACACAACATAAAGTGGCAGCCTATCATAGCATGATACATAAATTATTAGAAATTCCGATGTCAGAATACAATTTTAAAACAGAATTAAATATCATTAAGCAAATAGCAGTAAACAATGGATACAACGAACAAACATTTAATAAAATTTTAAATCAAAAACTACACAAGACAGCCCTGAAATTAGTATTTTCACCACCAGAGATAAAACCAAGTACCCTCTGCTCAATTACATATACAGGGAAAATAACAGTCAAAATAGCTAAACACATAAAACAGAAAGGAATAACACCAGTTTTTAGAACAAACAACAATTTAGGCAAATATATTAAACACAACAAGAGCCAAAATAAAAAGCACTTACACAGTTATGTATAAAAAATTAAACGTGGCTACTGTCCAAAAACTTACATCGGTCAAACTAGAGAACCTTTAACAAACGTATAGCAGAACATAAAAGGGCTTTCAATAATGGGAAAACAGATTCGACATACGTACTTCACCTTGTAGATCATAATCATTCTTTTAATGACCAATTTCAAATTCTTCATCTCCAAAAGCCTTAAGCTAACTTTATTAGAATCCACGGAAATAAACAAATGAAAAAAAAGACATAATTCTGAATAACTAACTTGAGACAAACAGTTCTCCCCTCTTCAACATATTTCGTTAAATAGTTTAAATTGTAAACACATCCAAAAATACATCTTTTAACAAAATTTTTAAATTTTAATTACAAAATAAAATATACTTAAAATATACTTTAAAATATTACTTTTACTGTAAGTATTTTTCACATGTTTTGTAACTTATCAGTCGAAATTTTACCTATTTTTTTAAACTATTTTAACTTTAAGTATTTTGTCATTTTAAAGTGGAAATATACTTTTAGACTTCTTCACTGATAATGGCCTGACTGGACCGAAAACGTTTTGTAATCCTTTTGGATAAAATTTTAAATTATTCTAACAAATAATATACCATTATACACAAGAAGTTCTTATTTCAATGTAAGTTTTTTTTAATAAATATTTATTATATCAATATTAAATCTATACGCACCTACAGAAAAAAGGTATAGAAAAAAGAAAAGTTTTAAGATAATGCAGAAGGAAAGATGAAAAAGAAACCTAAAGATGATATAATTGTATTGGGAGACTTCAACGTCCTGACTCATAAGTCATGGACATGACTTATGGTATTGGTACAAAATATAAAAAACCAAAAAAAGGAATGTCAATAAAATGCATAATGTAGATATAAGCAAGGAATACATCGAAGAAATAACATTAAAAATAAGAGAGATATATAAAGGAGGATAAATAAATTTAGAATAAGAAACTATCAAAAAAATCAATAAAAAATGAATATGCATGCAAATGTGAAAAACTAATAACTAAAAAGCAACCTAAAATCAAATGGCTAATATATTATACAGACGAAGACAAAAAAAAACTATGAAAAATGAAAAAAACTATAACATTATTAAAAGATAAAGTAAAGAAAATGGTAGATAATTATACTCAAGAAATAGAACCGGAAAAGACAAAATGAAAAGTTGCATAATCAATTCTTACCTTGAACCACATATCTGCATTTCAATTTCTGCTAACCTATTCTCAAGTTCCCATTGTTGCTGATTCAACTTGATGCTCATGGCAGCGTTTTCTGACTCTACAGTTTGCAAACGCTCTCTCAAGCGTTTTATTTCAGTTTCGAGCGCTTCGTGTGATCCGAGCGCAGGACTGGTTGCACCTGAAGCTGAAACCAAATGAGTCATGCTGTCGCATTGTAGAGTTGTACCTGAAATAGACAAATAGATTAATTTAAGAAGATTGCTTGGAGTTTGATCTTAAAGAGGTTAAATTAAGGTTCTTTTATAAAATCTATTATTCAAAGTCATTATCATATCACCTGACTGAGAATCTTGGTCATTTTCAGATTATTAAATCTAAAATTGGCAATTCAATTTATTTTGATGTAAAAGGCTTTATAAAATCTACCAAAGTAGATTTTGTTGCAGGCTAATAATTTTTTTTATCTTTGTTTGGTAGAAGAAATGCGCTCTTCGTTGTGGTCTATATTTTCTAAAATTTTTAATCTCTTTTCAATTAAACTGAGGCCTTCAGTCAAGTTTCCAATCATCATTTGAACCTCAAATTGAATCCAAACACTCAAGTTCTTCAATGTATTGTTCTTTCTCGTGCATTTCTATGAGGTTATCTATTGTCAGCTCCTGATTGTGGGAATTCAACAGTTCTTCATCATCATCACTATCAACTTTTAAATTTTTTTGCTGGGCGATACCAACAACTTCTTTATTAACATTACTAACTTCTTCATGCTCTGGCATCAATTCTATTTCAGTGTTAGTGATGAAAAAAAAAACAGGTTTTTTCCAGACCCCACCCAACGTTTTTTGTGAAACTTCATTCCAAGATTTTCCAATGATTGTTACTGTATATACCACGTTGAATTGTTATCAAAAGTCTTTAACAGAGAGCTTGTCGGTTTTTCTTATATTTTCATAAAGATGTGCAAATGATCGTCTGGTGTAATAAGCCTTTAATACTTTAATGACTCCCTGATTCATCGGCTGAAGTAAACTGGTTTTATTAGGTGGCATAAATTTAACTTCACACGTGGGTCAAAAGGGAGGATGACCTGAAGTATTGTCTATAATTAGCATCACTTTAAATGAAATTTGTTTAGATTGACAATAACGAACGACTTCAGGTTTGAAATTATGACAAAACCAATCCTCACAAAGAAAGCTGTCACTTAAGCTCTACAATTAGACGTCCAAATTATAGGCAAGCCACATTTAGATTTATTTTTTATTGCTTTTCGATTTTATGAGCGATAAACTAAAAGTGGTTTTACCTTGCAATCACCAGCTGCATTTGACCCCACCATCACTGTCAATCGATCTTTGGCAGCCTTAGAACCTGAAAAGATTTTCTCTGCACGTGCAATAAAATTTCTCTTAGGCAGGGGTGTAAAGCTAGTTCGCGTTCGTAGTAGAACACCACACGTGCACAGAAAATCTTTCCAGAAATGACACTTGTAAACGGACCTTATCAGGACCATTTGACTAAAGAACTCGGACCAAACATACGAGTTTGCCATTTTAACATAAGCAGGGCAAAATGTCAAATCCTGCACAGACTTTTAAAAGACAACGAAGTTGACCTAGTAGCACTATGCTCTCTGTTTTGTTACCATTGACAACAAAGGCCAACCGCTAGCAGCATTACGAAGGGTTATGCCTGACTTTCCACATAGTCAACATCGCCCCGTTCTAATCAAGATCGGTTCAGCATTCCGATTATAAGATCGTTCCCACGTCCCAGATGAAACTTCAAGAAAGCTAACTGGTCTGATTTCACCAGTAACCTTGACAAATGCCTAGGATGGATTCCACCAAAGAGCTAGAACTACGGGATACTAACAGGAGCAATAATCACCTTAGCAAAAGCGACAATCCCTAGAGGATACCGCAAAGAATATATCCCTGATTGGACAGAACAGAGCGAAAAACTTTATGAAGAATATTGCGAAGATGGAAAGCAGGAGATTGCAAACGAACTACTCCACAGCATTGATGCTGCCAGTCGTGAAAAATGGATTTAGACAGTAGAAAACCTAGACTTTCAGAAGTCAAGTCGACAAGCTTGGTTCCTACTGCGGAAACTCGGAAGTAGCAACCCACCCGTTCGCCAAACCAACCTAGTAACTCCAGACCAAATAGCTACGCACATAATGTCAACCTCTAGGGCACCTCAAAATCGTTTATATACAATTAAAGTTAAAAAAGACCTCAAAACCATAAAATCTAGTCTTGCACATTCAACAGAATATTCCAACCCATTTACGCATGAAGAAATATCGCAAGCCCTAAATAAAATGAAAACAGGAAAAGCGCCGAGTTTCAACGCCATTCACGCTGAGTTCCTCAAACATAGCGACAGATTCACTAGGCAATGGCTCGCAGAATTCTTTTCTGACATCCTTCAAATGAGAAACGTCCCCCACCAACTCAAAAATGCAAAAATCGTCGCAATTTTAAAACCAGGGAAAAGTAATAATTCACCGAAAAACTACCGCCCAATCGCACTCTTAAGTATGGTGTACAAATTGTTCGAAAGACTGTTGTATAATAGAATCAGCAAAACCATATTTCAACACTTACCAGTGGAACAGGCAGGATTTCGGCCAAACCGCAGCTGCACAGACCAGGTACTCGCCCTGACCAATTATGTGGAATCAAACTTTCAAAAGCAATTAACAACAACCGCTGTCTTTATTGATCTATCTGCTGCTTACGACACTGTGTGGCGACAAGGGGCAATATATAAATTGATGCGAATAATCCCACGCAGAAATACCACTGAGGTTATCAACGTCATGCTATCCAACAGATGCTTTAAAGTTATATTGGGAGACAAGACTAGTACCCAAAGAAAACTGAATAATGGACTTCCACAAGGATCCGTGCTCGCTCCCATGCTTTTTAGCCTCTAAGAAGACATGCCAGAAACCTCATCAAAAAAGTTTGGATACGCAGACGACTGGACGCTTGCCGCTAGTCATAAAGAATTCGAGGTCACTGAACGCATTCTAACGAACGATTTAAATGCCCTAGGGAATTATTTCCGCAAATGGAGATTGCAACCCAATCCAACTGAGACAGAAGTGTCCTGCTTTCATTTGTACAACAAGATGGCCAACTATCAACCTCAAATCCATTTTGAGGATAGACTCCTTAACTATAATAAACACCCAAAATACTTAGGTGTTACACTTGACAGAACGCTAAACTTTAAAGAGCATCTTACTAAGACTGCTGCAAAACTCCGAACTCGTAACAACATCCTGCAAAAGCTCTGCGGCACTACATGGGACTCCTCGGCACCCACACTTATATCGACAGCATTAGGACTGGTATACCCCGTAGCGGAATACTGTGCACCAGTATGGATAAACAGTCCACATACTCACCGTGTTGATGTCCAACTAAACCAAGCCATGCGAACTATATCGGGCACAATCAAGGCCACGCCCACTTACTGGTTAACAGCTTTGAGTCATTAAGCTCCACCACCCATCCGCCGGGAACATGCCCTTGTCAGAGAATTTACAAAAATCAATACTGATCCTGAGCTCCGCTCCCATGTCGGAACTTCCGTTCAAGGTTCCAAATAGGCTCCGTTCAAGACACCCGCCTCTAAAAACAACAAAAAGGCTAGTAGATCAAAACTTTAATGTAACTGAACGGTGGAGAGAACAATGGGAGAATAACGCTGCACCAGCTAACTGGAACATGCCATGTATTACAAGCAAACCTGAGGGCTTCAACCAACCGAGACGAATTTGAACCACACTCAATAGAATAAGGACGAACTGTGGCAGATGTTCCGACTTACTTTTTAGATGGCGAAAAATACAATCTCCAAATTGCGACTGCGGCGCCGAAAGGCAAACAGTAAAACACATGGTAAAGGAATGCCCGATTAGATCATATAACGGCAAGCCTTAGGATTTCCTGGCTGCTACTAAAGAGTCAATCGAATATATTTATAATCTAGATGTTTGTTTGTAGAAAAATATTTTTGTATTTACTGTTGTTTGTAATTTATATAATTTATATATGTATGTATGTATATGAACCTGTGATATAGCCATACGCTAAATAAATAAAAATAAATCTCTTAGGCATCTTCTCCCAAAACAGACCAGTCTCATCTACATTGAATATGGTTTGTTTGGTGTAGCCATATTCATCTATTATGACTTTTAATTCCTGTGGATAACAAGACGCAGCCTCTTTATCAGCACCTGCCGCTTCTCCGATTTCCGTAATGCTATGCTGATTACAGCGACTTTTGAATTAGCTAAACCAATCGTTACTAGTTTAAACTCTTTATCATTAGCTATTTCTCCAGCATCCTCTTCCAATATCTCAAAAATTAGCTTAGCTTGGGAGCACACTGTATTCTGATCAATAGGACAATTTTTCACATTCACCTTATTATCATACCATAATTTTAATATTGCCTTCATTTCGGCGATAATACCATGAAGTTACATACGATGGTGGTTTGGATAACATGATTGCTCTTTCAAGTCTTCAGTAGATATAAACAAACATCCACTCCGTAGATAAAACCATGATGCTATAAATGCCATGTTAGTCATATTAGCCATAGTATCATGGACAAAACTGTAGATAAGAAATACCCAATACAAAATAAATGTGCTGATTTCGTGCTAAAAGGCAAAACATGTACTTTAGATCAGCAATAATGTTTGGGTGGTAATTCTATCTAATCAATAATCGAACGATTGTGTGGCACTCAGATGGCGATTCGATAAGATTTGAAAATTGTGTAACTGTGGAATTGCGTAAGTCGAGGTATTACTGTATATCGTCGCTTGGATGCAGAAGTAGTCTAAGACACAAAATGTTAATTTAACAGGAGAGCATTTTTTTTGTTTTTTTTTTCTCAAAATATTATAAAATTCTTTTATCAGAAAATTGTATAACAATGTTTAAGAAGCTACTTTTCCTACAGTTCATTGCTTTCACGATAAAAGCCACGTTCTAAAAAAAAGAGGGACATAGAATAGTAAAGTCTCAACTGATATAGTCTATGTCCAAATTTGGAGATAGAATATACTTACATGGAAGTACTTAGGCTAGTTGTGATTAATCCATAATATTAATAATCTAATTATGTCGTAGGTATAGGTATAAATTATTTTAACAATAACAGTGTACTTACTCATAAATCGCATATTGTCGACTTTCAGGTTTAACAAATCAGTTTCTGAAATTATTAACAACTGGGCCGTGATTTTTTTTAAAAAAGACAGAAAATATTATCACTACTTAAAAAATTGAACAGATGGAACAAAAAAGAAAATAAAACAAATAAATTTAACTTAAAATTAGGAACTGAAATTAAACTATTATGAATATTTAAACATGATTTTCTGAATCTTCCCCTGTTCTCTTTTCGTCATAAGGTAGGTTTCTAAAAAGTCATGATATTGACATAAAAAAACTGTTTTCTGGCAAAGAAATTGCAAATGATCGTATTTCTTTTTCGTTAATGGAATTTGCCTCGTATAGTTTGGCTTCAGTTCAATATCTTCTATATTAATTTGAAGTGTCTTTCTACCCTTTTTGACCAGATTATTATTTTTTAATTCAATGTATTTAAAATTGTATTTAAAAAACACATATTTGGATAGTCTGGCCAGGTTTGTAGAATTCTTAATTTGTTCCAGTGAACTTTCTCATTAGATTCATGATTGTCCCAGTAAATGGATGTTTGTCCTAGAAGTTCTTTTAAATCAAATATATTTTCTTGGTCTAATTCAACGATGTTATACGGGTTGTTCCTCATTGCAGTTCTGACAATTGTGTACCATTGATGAGCAGAATAGACTGGGATATTATGTGATGATCTTTCAATCACACTATTCTACCTCATTTTGTGTGTGCCCTCATTCCAGAATGCTATGGAAAATTGTTACCTTATATAATTGAGAAATGTAATTGTATAATCAAAATAAGTATTTATTTCTATTTTGCCTGGCACAATTGTCAGAAAAAAGTGAAAACTCATTCGTACCTTGTACAATATTACTCTATATAAAATTCAAAAGGCAACTACCTATTTTACAAGAGCCTCTCTTGCCTTTAGTTTTCTTACCACATATAAAAATTGCATTCCTTATTACCCAGATTAAAAATGGTAAAGTTATAAATTGATAATTTTAGTTTATAATACGTTAATCCAACTTCCCACTTTGATAACTGAAGTAGTTGTTGTAAATCGAAAACTGCACAACAAATCTGTTGATCCTTCTCAGCTCTTTTTTTCTGCATCCTTAAATGCCCTAGCTAAATTCTTGTTTTCCAAGTGCAGCTGATACATTTCTTCAGCTGCTAATTTTTCTTTAGTAGACTATTGTTCGAATCCATGACAAATATCGCACGAGTCTTTGCTTTGGCTGAAAGAATGACATTAAATCTGAATTAAATACAGCCCTGTATGTACTTCCCGTTGCTACTTCAGTAATGTTTCTATAAGAACAGTATTCCTTATATAAATAATAAGTTCTGGAAATGTTAAGAGATGCCGGTAAATACAAACGTGTTGTGTATTTTCTGCAATAGTGACTTTCAATTGTCTGAAAGGAATTTAAATGTTCTCTAACAGATTCTTTGACAGATTCGTTGAGTATGGAGTTTTTGCAGGTCTTTCCTCTTCTGTCTTCGGAAATCGTATCAGTGGAACAAGTTTTATTAAGTACAGTTTTAACAACCTAGATACTTATACAAAAAGTATTTAAAAAGAAAATCTTACACACAGGAACTTTGATGTTGCCCTTTATAAAAGAATAATCAATCGTGAATGTTCTTCTACTCTGTTGGTTTGGAGAAGGCGATTCTTTATTTTTCTCTACAGCGATATTTATCTTCTTTCGGTTAATTTTTGTTCTTTCTTTATTTTTTCTTTGCGCTAATTTTGAAATGAAATCTCGTTGTCTGTTGATGTCTCCAAGATTCTAGTAACAATCAAATATTGATTGCCTTTCTTCTTCAGAAATCTTCTCGCTACATTTCATTCTACAATGACATGGATCTTTCATTTTGCGGGATGGCTGAAGTTTATTTTTCCAAGAGTTGTATTCCTTTCCGCTATTTCGAGATGTCTTTATTATATTTCTTCTCCAGGAATTTTCTTTTGCGTGACTCTCTTATTGAGACTTCTTGATCAGGTTCCTGATCCAACAAAACAACTTTGGGTTCATTTCCTCGTTATCGGAGCTATTTTAAATCGCGAATAAGCCTATGTCCTCAATATCTATACGTAAATTTATGCAAAACTAGTCTATGTCCGGCTAAGCGACGGAGATACAATCGGTTCACTGCGGTGCTCTTACATAGACTGATTCTGCATGAAAACTAACAACGGTACTGAACATAGGCTAGTTCGAGGTTTAATCGATATGAGCACTAGTTGTAAAGATGGACATACAATTCTTCTGCATCCAATGTAATGATGCTTTTACTTTTAAATGGACCTTAAATATCAAATTAGGCAAAAATGAACATAGGCTACTTCTGCATCCAAGCGACGAAATATAAATGGGAAGATCACGAATATCACGAAAAATATGGCTATATTACTCTTGTAACGACGAACCAGCAAGGCCTAATTCCCTCAGTAAAGCAGAATTTTGAAAGTGAAACTGAACTATTGTCTTCATAGATTTTAGAAATACATACATAAATATTTTTCAAATTAAAACCAAACAGAGCAATTCCAATCCTGTTTTCTGAGCTACTTAACTCGGTATAGAAACAAACAGCGGCCAAACGGATTGACGTTTGCATATTTTATTCCCGTGTCCCGCCGCTTACACAATTTCAAAATCCTTTTGCTGTTTTAGTGAAAAATTCAGGAAGCCCACTGCGGCGGTCAGCTCTGGCACGTTTTTCTATGAATAACAGAAAACCTTACGATTTATTTCATTTGTTATAGTGAGATTATGTGTATGTGGGTTAGAGCTTTTCGATTATTGATGAAAGTGGGAAAGTGCTTTGGATTTTTTCGGTTATCTTTTAGTATATCCCTAGTACAGTTAATTCTTGTTTTAAAAATTAACAATGTCATATATAAATATATAATAGTAATCATCATTATCTCTCTTTGCCTTTATCCTTATGCAGGGTTGGCATGCATAAACATACATGTCCAATCTAAATATCTCCCGCTAAGTCTTCTTTGGTTTTTTCGCTCCTACTGATTCAAGAAACTTATAACTCATTATTTTAACATTGAACATTCCTTAATCATCTTAAACCACACTTTTCTAGTTTGGCAATAATCGTTACCATCACCCTAATGTATATATTTTTAATTTTTTCTTTGGTTGCCATTCCACTTATCCATCTCAACATTGCCAATTCCGCCACATGCATTTGTTGCCCTCTTTTTTTACCGACATAACATTTACTTCCATAGATCATATCTGGTGTTATGCCAGATTTCTAAAACTGTTCCTTTCCTAGTTTTATTGCAATCTTTCTATTACATATCTTCTTCCATTTCATTTTATCCCGTTCTACCTCTACTGGATTTATCTGCATCTATTTCTCCATTACTCTTGTAACTATTATTTTGCCTATCACATGGGGTATTACTATAAAGGGTTAAAAATTGGGGACAGAAATTATGGGGCTAGAGATAGGGTAAGCAAAACAAACCGAAAGGTTTGCGAACGTCTACTCAGGGTTTATTTGGAGAGCTGGATCGTGAATAAGTTCGGCTTCTTAGTTCAATGTCCAGTATAAAAAATTTATTTTGTTAAATAACAGCCTTGCAGACTGATGACAGCAATATCACCTACAAACTAAAATGTTTAGGACAGGTTTAACTTACGTCATTCGTATCATTTTTAATAATACAAAATAGAAATTTCCACCCCTTAGATAGAATTATTTTTATTAAATATTGCTTCTTACGAGATTTAAATGTATCTTAATTTGAGAAAAAGTGACCGAATAGTCTATTCTATAACATGATTTGAATGAAAATTCTATAAAACGCGTTACGAACGCAAGTACCCACAAGTAGATTTTTTAGAGAACCACAAGAGAAAATTTTTAGAGATCAAATCTCTAATAAATGCACTAATGTACTAATATTAATATCACCTGATCTTTGATGGGATCCCGTCACGTGATGGCTCCTAGCACTTCTTCCACTACTTGTCGAAATAGCTCCTGGAGAATCCGGAGTATGCTGCCTGGAAGGTGAGCTTATAAGTGATCTGGGATAAGCTGGGGTCAAGCTTGATAATACTGGAGGTATCCACATATCTTCTAGTGCCACTTTTCCGCGAGATTCCACCAATCCTGGCGTTGATTGACTTCTACCCATTGCAGCTAGAAAAATATTCAAACTGAGTATATATTTATCATACTTCCTCATCTCATCGGCAACTCATATACACATTCCAAAATTACAATATAAAAATATCAAAAGTAAAAAAGTTGCACAAATAGGTACGTTATATAATCATACATAGAAGTATAACTAATTTAAATATTCAATCAATTAGACTTTGAAAGGGCATTTGATAAGGTTGAACATAAAAAGCTTATAGATATATTAAAAAGCAACACTATCGATAGTCGTGATATGAAAATTATATCTAATTTATATTGGAATCAAACCGCCAAGGTAAGAGTTGACAGCCAATCTTCTTCTTAACGTGACCTATCAAGTCCCCTTGACGTTGGCGATTAACATGGCGAAACTGTCTCTGTTTCGAGCTATTCTAAAGAGTTGCTCAGCTTTCCTTATTCTTGTCTACTCCCTGATATTCTTTAACCAAGTGGCCTGCTTTCTACCAATTCCTCTGCGTCCTTCGATTTTACCCATCATAATAAGTTGAAGAATATTATATCGGTCTCCTCTTACTACGTGTCCAAAATAGGCCATCTTTCTACATCAAGCAGCACATTTGTCAGCATAACCAATACACCCAAAATATCAAAATACAGAGAGGAGTCCGCCAGGGTTGCGTGCTGCCCCACTACTTTCCAATGTCTACAGTGAAGCGGTATTTCAAGAAGTGTTGTCAGACTCAATAGAAGGGATATCCATCAATGCTGAGAATGCTTCGACGTTACGTGGTCTCTACTCTTCTTTATGGCATGGAAGCGTGGGCACTAAAAAAATTTCATCTGAATAAGTTGGCCGCCTTTAAATTTTGATGTTACAGAAGAATACTACGAATATCATGAATTCAAAGAATATCAAACGTGGAAGTAACTAGAAGGATAGGAAATGAGGCGGAAATAATATTAACTATCAAAAAAATGAAAACTTGAGTACTTAGGACATGTGATGAGAGGACAAAAATACGCATTATTACAACTTATTATGCAAGGAAAATCCGAGGAAAGCGAAATGTGGGAAGACGAAGAATATCCTGGCTTAAGAACTTAAGGAATGGTTTAAATGCAGTAGTGCAGAACTTTTTAGAGCGGCACGGAATTTAATGAAGAAAAAATAATCAATAGGTTCATTACACATGTTGTTCCGATTATCTGTTATCACCACAGTCGCCTATGGGGGATGGTAGCTTACTATACTTGTTTAGGAAGTGTGCCAATTTTTTGTGCAAACTCTGTTGAAACGTGTCCATGATTACCTTCATGGTTCAAAAGCAGAAGACTTTTGTGTAATAAAAGGTTGAATCTGGACTTATGTAGATGATTTATGCTACCATTTCTTTTGTCCAAGAGACAAAGAGAGATAACATCCAAGCAGATCTCCGCAAAATGAACATTCCATTTGACCCTAGGTTGATGGAAGAGCGAACAAATTGGAAAAAAGTTGTACAGTCAGCCAAGGTCTACCCGGGGTTGTAACGCTACGTGATGATGATGATTTCTTTTGTCAGAAAATGAGATGTAACTTTATTTTGGACATTTGTTTGGCTGTTACTACCGGGATTAGAAGTTGTTGTTGATTTTTTCATATGTTTACATCTCTTTAAATCATTTTTTTGTAATAGCAAATAGCAAAAAATATTACAGTAATTGTTAACAACTTTAACTCAATGAGGACTATTTAAAAACCTAATTATTACTGCCAGTTTAGCTTTCAACTTTTTATATTTATATAGATTTTCTGACATACCAGATTTTTCAAGACATTTCGGGATTTTGCGACTATATTTCAAACATTTTGGTTTTTAAATACTTATTTTCTTTCGTCAAGGAACTTTTTTATATGGAATCAGCGAAATTACAAAACTGTCATAACACTGCTCTTTCCATTATAGTTATTCGCCTGGAATAACTGGTCCATCAGGGAACAAATGAAGTTCAGCTCCATACCAGTTCCATGGTACGGAGCTAATATCTTGATATGAACTACCTTAGGTTTACTTCTAGCTTAAAACTGGACAGTTCCTCTCAGTTTCGTCCTTTCTTTCGTTTGGCAGTGTATGGCCATATTGGGTTACCTTTTTCGAAAGCTGTCCAGGTAGCATCCATGTCGAGCATGCCTTGGCTTTATCACTTTGAAGCTTCAAACATTTACGAGCAAATTCGTATGATTTCTCCAATTGCTGTCCAGGTAGTATGAATGTCGAGCATGGCCTTGGCTTTATCACTTTAAAGCGTATGCAATTTTTCTTTAAAATTTTCGATCTAGGTTATGGATTAAAGTTGTTCTTCGCAGGGAAGCAATCTTTCAAAAATAAGATCTTGAGGAAGCTTTTTTTTCTCTTCCTATGATCATCACCGATGAAGAATCGACGATCGCTTCATGTAAGGAACTTTTATAGGCTAGCAGCAATAGAGAAATTAAAGTATCACAATATTTGTGATTATCAGTGACAAACTTTGAAAGGTAATGATTGACATTATTTATTATGTCTTTGGACCATTTTGTCTGATTGTGGATGGAAAAGGGTAGTGTGAGTTTGTTGAATACCCAACATTTTCATTAAATTTTGCCATAATTTCGTCCTTTATCAGAATATAATTCTACAGAAACTCCAGGTTTTAATATGACATGTGTTATGAATTCTTTTGCTACTGTAAATAGTTCTTGATCAGGAAGGGGTGTAATTTCAGGCCATTTTAAAAAATAATGCATTTAACCAATAAAGGCAGGTTGACACGATCCAAGTGACTTGGAACTCTGCTTGGACGTTTTGCGTGCAGCACTTGGAAACTACTTTGATTATGTCACCTGTTCAACCAAGTACACTTGTATCAACAGGTTCTATCTAAGTTAAGTAGGACGCTGGCCAACTTGCTTGGATCCAAGTAGTGTGGTATTGTAAAATTGAAATGGCGTCAGTGTCGAAAAATTGAAAGTTAGAAGTAAACACAAAAAGAAAATAATCCGAAAGGGAGAGTGATTCATGGAGTTATACGAAGCTGAGGAAGCATTATGGAATGTACAGATAAAGAAATATAAAAGTAAGGATGCTAGAAGTGCGGCATTTTTTCTTTTTTGTTTCTTTTTTCTGGATTTCAAGCTCATGTATCAATATATCAAATCAAACACCTTCCACAATTAATTCCGCTATCTTTATAATGGGTTCAAGTCTTCAAGTCACTCAAAGGTCACTCAAAGGTCTCTCTGGAAAACTATTGTACCATTTTAACACGGCATTTTGTTCTTAGGTCTTTTCTATCGTTAAATAAATTGCATTTCTTACACCAATCTTTTACATATTGGAGAAAATAGATGCAGTAAAATATGTCTCAAACTTTTGCAAGTGTTCTTTTGATCCAAAATGTGCTTTATAAATTTATAAATTTCCTGCAACACACTTTTAATGTGTCATTGTGACAAAACCGATTATTGTATGCGTACTCCTACAAGACTTTTGGATATAATAGACCACTTCCCACTTCCGATATAATAGACCATTTGAAAGATACAGAAATTACCATTGATTCCAGTACTCCTTTATAGTTCCACTATATGTGCCATTCTCGTCTGACTTTTAACTGATTATCTTTCTTTTGACTCTTCTTAAGGTTTTCCAGAAAAGTTTTATAATTATCTTCTTTTTATTTAACGGTAGTAATCCAGAGAGTTACTTCTTCGGTTATATTCGCTTTTTCTTCAAGTTGACACTGGCTTTGAACCTGTAATTCGTAAAGGATCTGGGATTTCTTCTAATTGTTTAGTTAACATATTTTGCAAAATTGACACATGTTTTCTTAACTTTTCTATTTTATTTCTACTAATCGTTAAATGATCCTTTAAATGAGCAACTTTTCAGATTCCAGATTTTCTGTTTTTATTTTGAGATTTTTGTTAAAGATTTTGCAGTATTCTTAAAATTTGGGATAAAATAAGTTGCTGGTTATCTGAGGTAGCGACTTTCTCATTTTCTCGAAATCCTATTTATTTTAATTTTGAGCAACATTTGGAAATGCTTTACGCCACTTCATACTCCTAGACTAAGATTAGTCCTCCATTCAGCATTTTGTGATGTAAGCGGCAAGACTGTTGCATTTTAACATTCTGTAATCTACCTATGAATGTCTGTATACCAATTTGTTCCAGAAAATCTTTAGGGATCTAATGGTACCCCATTAGTTCATCAACAATCTCCTGACTTCTCTGTTCAAGCAATCCCTGCACCACTCTTGCCAGAGTTACATTCATTTTTATACCCTCTGGCTGTATGTTTCTTGGATGTGTTTATAAAAGCTCCAATAAATTTCCGTCTAGGCATTTTTCTAAGTTTTTTTAAACTGCACAGTTGATTTGTTTGCAGATTCCATCTTGGATGAAAAATCCTGGATAATATTATCATAGTAGTGCCACTTTTAATAAGTATGGGGCGGTGTTGACTTCGGAGAAAGCTTAAGAGAACTTTTCGTGATGCTGACAGTACCCTACTATTTTTTTTTCGTTATTGAAAACGAAAAATAGATCTACTTATTCATATTATTTTTTCCAAGTAGGCGGCCTGAAAGAATCCCGTTTCTTGACATTAAATATAATATGTTCCAGAAATGAACATATAGTTTTAAAATATAAAATAAAAATGTCATTCTTTAACTTTTCTTAGTGTAGAATAACTAGAACAGTCACCTTATCTAGTTTGAACGCGACACCCGACTGAGTGGAGTCTGACGTCTGACCCTGTTAAATATTTTTCACACCTAAATAAAATAGGGGTAATATTCCCGTTCACGCATTATGTAGTGTTTTATCAGTTCAGTAAGATCAGTTCAAGTTGACACATGGCCATCGAGGCATCGCATCTCGAGTAGTTAAAAACTCGCAATTCACGTATTAAATATTTCTCTTCGCCGAGATCGGGCATTTTCTCATACCGGTGTTTTTTCTTTTACGTGTTATAAAGAAAGAGTACATTTGATATTGTATAGTAAATTACGGCCGTGTTGGGCCACTTTAAGGATAAGAATCCTTATCCTTCAATGGTCACTAAAGAACCATCCATTCACAAGATATGCATCAATTCACAAGTCCTATGAAGTAAGGCTTGGAATCCAAAGATTTCCAACTCTCGTAATGTAGGTAGCCAGGTACAGGGCTCCCTCAATAATATATAAGTCATACTCATCATACACTTAGCCAGATTAAGAACTTAGTATAGCTTCGTATATTTTCATCCTCGATATGTAATTTAGCTCGAGTAAGGGGAGTGGAGGAGACGTTTCTTTTCAATTTCTTTTTTTATCTTTGACGTTTTTTTCTTCTTGTTGTTTTTCGTTTTTTGTGGACGATATTTCTCTTCAACTTCTTTTTCATCTCTTTGACGTTATTCTATTACGGCAATCATATCTTTATCTTGGCCTTGCCCATTGTTTTGACTACACAAATTATCAAAAATAATTTCTTTCACTTAATCGCACTTCTGACACCAATTGTTACGTTTTTCTGTGGGTTCAGAGAATAAGTAAAGCAAACGTGATTTAAGTAACTATATTTTAACTCCAAATAACTCACTAAATTACAAATAACATAAATTCTAATTACACCAATATTATCGTTTACAATTCATACAAATATCTCTTACAAAACCGTTCGCCAATTCTTCTTCTTCGCGTGCCATATCAGAACTATCCAACGTTGGCGATCACCATTGCGAAGGCTTCTCGATCTTCTGCAATATGGAATAATTGTCCTGCATTTGGTATGTGAAGCCATTTACGAATGTTTTTTAACCAAGAAACTTGTTTTCTTCCTATACCTCTACGGCCCTCTATTTTGCCTTTAAGGATCACTTGTAAAATTTTATATCGACTTCCCCTTACTATATGTTCCAGATAAGACATTTTTCGATTAAAATTGAATTGTGTTTCGAAACTATTTTACATTTTTCGATGTTTAACAGTCTTTAGCAGTTCTCTGTCTTTGTTGACGCTCCTTAGTACTTCTTCATTAGTTTTTCTAGCTGTCCAAGGTATCTTCAGCATTCGTCTATAAACCCAAATTTCCAATGCTTCAATTTTGTTCATGATCGATACTTTTAGCGTCCACACTTCTGCTCTATACAAAAGTACAGACCAAACATAACACTTAACCATTCTTTGCCTTAGTTCTAAACTAAACTTACTAATCTTTAATGTCGCTTCTGTGGTTTATATGACAAAAACAACTGTTTTTGAGATCTGAGATGAAGTCTGAGATCAATGTGCCGTAATGAGGGGCAACGTTTACTAATGAAAATGCATGTATAAAATTGTATTGTTTTATTTCAAAACAATATTTACTCTACAAACATGCAGAAAATGTACACTAGTGAGTAAAAAGTGTATTTAAACGTTTTTAAGTCATGTTATTCAATACAGTTTTAGTAGAACCTTACCTTATCTGAGCTTTTACCTTCACAGACATATATAATACATTGGACATATAAAATTACCAATCTCCTTACCTTTCTCTAATGGCGCTCTCTTGTATTTCTCCAGCCTCTTCACAGCTATCGCTTCCAGACGGACCCTAGCAGCGGGATACTCTTTAAGGACATCCCACATATCCTTTTTACTGAGGACGAAAAGGTCGCTGTATCCCACCGACCTGACACTCGCCGTCCTCCTATTACCTACAACATTAATCAGACAAAATGTATTCAGATCCCTTTGGCGGTTGTTGGTAGGTCCAAAGATCGAAAGAATCAAAAAGGGGCAGTTTGGATGCACAAGCATTTATGTTTTTGTAAGATTAAAAAGGATTTTACTTGAAGCACTAACAAGTTTTCTACATTTTAGGGTAAACATATTTAAAGGCGCAGTTACAGGTAGTTATAAGGGATGATTCTTTTTAAATTTGTTTTTATAGGGAATGTTAAACAGATATTAAGACGATATCATTAGTTTTACCATATTAGTGTGATACTATAAAATAAACAGTTTATAAATACATTTATAGTTCGTACGTTATCTGTATATGTTTTACTTAAAATGTTTCTACATACAGCTTACGGATATATTATTAACATTTTATAATTTATTAGTATATTTTGGCTATTTTTCTTCATTCTAACTTGCAGCTACCACATAAATGTATACTATATCCCTTGTTATATTCCATGCTTTTTTTAAGCTTATATTATTTAGGGAATGAGCGGAACATATCGTTTATTTTAGTATAAATTAGTTTAAGACTAGCTGTAAATAAAATTTTTAGGCAGAAAAAATAAGATTTCACGTTTTAAGATGTAGAAACTTATTATTTCCTTATGGCGAATGTAACAGAAATATTGCCCAAACCACCCAAGTATTTGTCAGAGATTTTCTTACCTATACTGCGCGGCGTATAGTAACCATTTTTTCAACAAGACTTACGGCGGTCCCATTAGTACTTAGCCTCACCGGCCGATGGCGCCACTATCTCAAGAGAAATCTACTATCGTGCAGTACAGTCTTGAAAGACGACTACTGCCGAATGGGACTCGGTATTTTTATTTGACCGCTTGTAAAAGCGGGCGTGTCCGCGGATTTTTAGAAAAATTTAAAAAGAGCTATATTAGTCGGTGATTTAATTTTTGTTTTTGGAAGGGAAATTGCGCAAAAGAGCGCTTGAATGCTGTGTGCGGTGACTCTTTGCCTTCGATGGTGACCGTCAAAAATTGATAAGACGAGTTTCAACCTGGTAAAACGGTTTTTGTTGAACTACGCCTCGGTGGTACGAAAATGGCTACTAAGGAGGATAACGTGACACAAATTCACAATCTTGCATTGGCAGACCGCCGACTGAAGGTACGCGAGATAGCTGAAGCAATAGGCATCTTAAAAGACCACTTATGCCATATCCTGTATGAAATTTTGGGCATGAAAAAGCTGTCCGCGCGATTGGTGCCACATTTGTGCAAACCGGACAACAAGCGCAACCGTTAAACCACTTCAGAGTAGTGTTTAACTATATTTAAGCGTAACTCAAAGGAGTTTATACGTTGTTTCGTTACCGTCGATAAAACATTAATCTACTGGTATACGTAGAACAGAGGATCGATCTAAAACAGAACGTTATGTAGCATCTGCCTTTGCAACAAAGGATAAAATAAAGAAATATAAACTAGCGGAGACTAATACCATTTTAACAGAAGAACTCTTTGCAATAGATAACGCCATACGTCACGTTACAAAATGTCCTGAAACTAACTTTTTAATAATTACTGACTCACTAAGTTCTCTAGAAATCATTTCAAAAATCTATTCTTCCCATCCTGTGGCCAAACGCATTAGGCAAGAATTGCATAGCCTAAATCACAGAAATATTGATTTTCTGTGTGTACCATCTCATATTGGAATCACGGGAAATGTCACAACTATCGAGTTCTATTTAAGAACTCCAGCGACAGATCTCACATCATATTTCCACAGCAAAATAGTTAACATATGGAAGAGCAGATGGCACAAAAAACAGGCAAAATTACTTAAGATAAAACCAATATTTCAACCATGGTCTGATAGTTCCATCAATCGTTTTTCTCAGGTTATCATCACACGACTGCGGCTTGGTTAATGTCTTAATTTTAACGCATTTTATAGTATAAACACCTTCTGGTGGAGTGCCCGTTACACACTACGGAAAGATGTAAATTCGGAATCCCGAAGAATTTGAAAGAACTATTCTTAAAGTGCGGTGCCAAGGTGATTATCCAGTAACTAAAAGCAATAAACTATTTATCAAAATTTAATTATTACGCTATTCAATTATTGTTAATATATATATATATATATATATATATATATATATATATATATATATATATATATATAGTCCCAAGATTCCTAAGAGGAACATAGGGCTTCCACAAAGTGTTTCCAGCGAACTCTATTTCTGGCTAGTGCTTTGATTTCAAGCCAGGGTTTTCCCATTTTTCTCCCTTCGTCCAGTACTGTCCTTCTCCAAGTTCCCTTAGGTCTGCCTACTTTCCGTCGGCCTTAGGGATTCCCATCCAGCGCTGTCCTAGCAATGTCATTTGGCGGTCTACGGAGTGTGTGGCCCAGCTATCTCCATTTTCTTCGCCTTATTTGCTTTATGACATTTTCTTGGTTGCTTTGGTTCCATAAATTTTCATTGGAGATTCGGTTAGGCCAAAATATACGAAGGATTTTTCGTAACGCTCTATTGATGAAAACTTGTAATTGCTGTACTCTGGGTGCTAATATCTTCCACGTTTCGCAGCCATACAGTAATACAGCTTTTACATTTGTGTTGAAGATTTTTAATTTCGTTTTAGTTGGGTAAATCCTGGACTTCCATATGTTGTTAAGCATGTTGTAGGCGTTGCGAGCCTTATTTATTCTTTTATGTACATCACGCTCTGTACCCCTATTACAGTCAATTATGCTGCCCAGATATACAAATTCTGCTACTCTCTCAATTTTCTGGTCGTTGATCATAATAGGTTGGTTGTTTCTGGTACCAAATCGCATTTCTTTGGTTTTGTTGATGTTTATTTCCAGACCAACCTTCTTTGATTCTTCTTGTACTTTGTTTACTTGGAGTTGCATGTCCTGTTTTGTATGTGCTAGGAGGCATATATCATCAGCGTAATCTAGGTCTTCTAGTCTGTTTGTTAATTCCCAGTAAATTCCTCTATTAGAGTTTACCTTTTGTTTTGTTTAATTATTGGTAATACTTTTTCTTTTTTCGCTAATAGCCTTACAGGCTGATGCGAGTTTGTAAATAAAAAAACCAATAAAGGCCAATTTTAGACTATTGTATGATAGTTTATTAAATTTCAGCAACTTTTTGTCCTGCGAAAATCCAATAAATCAATTTAGGTTACACGAAGTACAACGATTTACATTTTTGTATCGATAGTTCTGATTAGTTTACTTATGTGTGGACTTGAATCCGGTGGATATTTGGAGGTGATTACTCTGAAGGAGATTCAAATTACTGCACAGACTCATTTTTGGATTTTGAAGACATTGGTGGATCTGAAAATGATCTCGTAATCCAAAACAAAGTTGTAAAACATCAACGTAAGAAAATTTTATGATTTGAGATATCTACATCAGTGGTGACATTAATATTTAAAGGCATTTTAGAAACAGCACTGGGTAAGGTAACGAGACCGAAAAGATGGGGTAAAAGTAATCCTGCTGAATGTTGATGAATATTGCGAAAAAAAAAAACGATCAGAAGGGAGCACATATAGAACGAAAAATAAAATCAGAGTTCCCAAGGTACCCCAGCAAGTCAATTGTAGTAAATATAAATTTAAGTGTACTAAAAAGTTGTCTGAAGATCAAGAAACAAACTCTATATAAATTACTGGAGTCTAGGTTTTTTGCTTAGAAAACATTTTATTTTGTACAATATAACTGTCAAACAAATTAGGACTAGACTTGTCCTTAAAACTTCCCAAAGAAAGAACGAGGATTTAACAAGAAATGCTCTCTTCCACTAGCTAACCATGAAAGAATTCCAGTGTGCCAACAGTTTTTTACAAAAATGCTGTGTATTTCCCTAGATGTTATAATGAATGCTTTAGCTAACAGTGATTCTACTGGTTGCTATTTTAAAAAAGACAATCGAGGAAAACGGGGACCACTTAACAAAAAAAAAGGCTGAAGATGTTCAATTTTGTTAAAGATCATATTGAATCCTTTCCGGTTATGGAACCAAACTATACCCAAAAGGATACCATTAGAAATTACTTAGATCCCATTTTAAATATCAAAAAATGTACCAGCTGTACTTAAATAACTGCATCTAAAATAATCGAGACCCTGTTGCTTTACGTAAATATCGATCTATATTTTGTGAAAACTATAACCTAAGTTTTTTCACACCAAAAAAGACCTTAAAAAACCCTATGAAGAACATGGGAAAAGAAATTAAAATAAATATACGTAGACAGTTGCGTTTGGATTTCATTTGAGTCTCCTACCATTCTCTAATACGTGTTTCTAGGTCTGCGTGTCATCAGAAAGACTTGCAAGAAGACTCAAACCAAATCAAAACGCACCGACCAAGTATGGCAATTATAGGAAATAATTACCAGAGTATGCTACCAGCGAGGGAAGATGAAGTGAAATGTAGATAGCAATTAAGCTAAACTATATACCCAAGCTTAATCATGCATTTCGTCGAGTAAGGTCTTTAACAAAATTAATACTTGTAGACGGTTGCGATTGAATTTCATTTGAGTCTCTTAACATTCTCTAACACGTGTTTCTGAGTCTACTTGTCATCAGAGATAGAAAAAGAAATTAAATTTGTCAGGCCGCTAAAAGAATAGTTAAAGACAAAGCAAATAAAGACAAGACATGTATGTATGTAATATTAGATCTACAAGCAATTTTAGAAATACCCAAAGAATCTATTGGTCAATTATACTATCGTATAAAATTAGTGTTATACAATCTTACCATTTGGGAATTACCGCTACCGAATAACGCATATTGCTTGTGCTGGAATGAAATCAATGGCAAAAAGGATAGTTCTGAAATCGGAATCTGTAAGTATTACTATTTATAAAATATTTTATACTTATTACTTTTTTCTAGTAATTATAATACGAATAATTACTAGAAAAAAGATATTTCCAAGATTTATCAAAAATAAAATTTTCCTGTCTCTTTT